AGGGAGGGAATAGGAGAATGAGAGTCCCTTGGGAAGGAAGTAGGGTGGGATAAAATAGGGGGCAGGGGGGTGGGTGTTGGGGGACAATAGGGTAGGGGGTCCCTAGTAGGGCAGTGGGATGGGGTGGGGAGCAGTAGGGTAGAGGTTCCCAGGGGCACACTCACCCAGAGCCATGCAGGCCCACCTTGGTGTGCAGGGTCACCTGCACCCCAAACCCCGGCAGCAGCTTCAGAGACACCTTTGGCAGTGTGACCTCCTCAAACGTCAGGCTGTGTGGAGAAGGCCACTCACTACCAGACACCCCCCAGCGCCACTCCCTTAGTGCCTGGACCATCCCAGACCAGGCAGCAAGCACCTACAGCCTCTCTCCGGTGTGTCTCCCATCCCACCTCTAACCCATAAAACCAACAGTGGGCCCTTGGGCCTGTGACTTCACCTCTCTGGGCCTCGGTTTCTTCACCTGTGAAGGGGGGTAATACAAGTACTCACTTAGAGGCATGTTACAAAGACAAATGAGATAAGGTAGGTGCAGCAGCTGGTAAAGCACATGCTCTAGAACTGTAAACCATCATCCTCACTGGAGGCTCAATGAATTAAAGTGCTCCCCCGACCCCATCCCCATGGCTGCAACCCTGCTTCAGTCTCCGGCCTAAGTCATTGTCCTCCCACTCCCACCTCCTAGGCTTGTATATCAACCCAAGGGGGTTCTCAGACACAGCTCCCCACAGTTCATTATTTTGTCTGTCCTCTGGGCCTTTGCCTCAGCTGTTCTCTCAGTCTGGAACATCCTTTCCTTGATTTTCCTTCCATTCTGAATCCACTGTCAGCTAGCTGACAGCTCTCCTGATTTCAGCTAGGGTGTCTCCTCCTGCAGGAATCTCTCTTTCCTGCTTCTCTGATGCAGGCAAATGCCTTCTTCTAAGCAGCTCCCACACCTGGCCGGACTGTCTCCGTCACTGCCCTGAACTCACAGGATCATGACTCTTGGGCCTAGTCTCATACTGGCAGCTCTTTGAAGCCAGGACAATGTCTGGTTCATGTCTGAGGCCCCAGCATCACCAAGCAGGGGGTATTCTACAATAGGAGGGGGACTAGATCTATTAATAATAATATTATAATAATAATAACTAATATTTATTGAGCATTTACTATGTGCCAGGTTCTATTTTAGCTGTTTGACACATAGTCACCATCCTGGCAACAACCCAACAAGCAGCTGCTCGTGGTGCAGCCGGTAAAAGCCAGATGGTTCCAGTTCCAGCTCTACCATTAACTTGGGCAAATCACATGGCTGCTCCATGCCTCAGTTTCCACATCTGTAAAATAGGGATAATGACAGTATCCACCACAGAGTGATACTTAGTGATCGTCCAGGCAGTCAGCCCTGACCAGCTCCCTTTCCAGATATCCATTTACTATTTTGGAAGGTGGGCATTGATCCCCCTTTCTGCTCCCAGCACCCCATTTCCTCCTGTACAGGGACACTTCCTGAACCCCCAGCTCCTGGCCTTCAGCCTTTCCTGGGGATCCCTGATCCACCACCAGCCATGGACTGGTTTCTGCCCGGCTGAGGCAGGCAGCATCGCCGTGATTAAACACCCAGACGCCCCCATTACTGCCCTCCCTCGCTGGGTTAGGATGAGCTCAGGCAGGTCGCTTCACTGCCTGCCAACCAATTTTAAAGAGTCAACCTCTTCTCTATTCCCCAAAGTAAAGACCAGCCTTTCTGTAGGGCACACAGTAGGTCAAATGGCCACATTGTGAGGACTTACCCAGAAAGCTCCTCGACGACGCCAAAAACCCCTCCGTAGCTCAGCAGGCCACCTCCTCCGAGCAGGCCCCCCGAGCCCAGGAGGCCTTGGTTCACCGATGTGACCGTCCCCAGCACATTCTGCAGGATAGGCCCCCCAACCAGTGAATTCTGGATGGCTGCAAAGAGGGCAGGGGGAGGAAGGTTCATTTTCGGATGAGGAAACTAGGGCCCAGAGAGGGGTAGAGACTGGCCCAAAGTCACACAGCAAATTGGTTTGGGATTGACCCTGGGCCACCCAGTAGCACCAGAAGAAAGGGCAGAATTAAAGGAGGGAGTGTGCAGCATTTGCTCCCTGTAGCATTTGCTATTCATGACTATTCTGTCTTATCCCTGAGAGTGTTGAGACCTGGAGCCCCAAATGCCTAGTAGAGTCCCCCCACTCCAGAAATGTGGAACAGCCAGCACCCTCCCCTGGACCTCCTCAACCCCACTCGCCCCTCCCTGAGGGAGACACAGCCCACGCATGTCCATACCACCCAGTTCACCTCTCAGAAGAAAGTGAACTAATCCTGCATTGGAACCTGCAAGCAAGCCTTTAACCCCCTGAACTCTGTGTGGTTCGGAATCGAAAACTGTCCTCATCTGTTCCTGCAGTGTAAGCATATCAGTGGGGTTGTTGACGCTGCAGCGGACCCCTCACACAGTGCCCACCTTGGGCTCACCTTTGCCGAGTTCATCCTTGTCAATCCGAGCCAGCGTGCCCACTGTCTCAAGCAGCCCCTGGCACGGAGTCACCAGACCCCAGAGGAGAAGCAGAGACCACACACCCAGCATCATCGGCGTCACACCTACCATGGGCGGAAGCGGGAACCCTGAAGCCATCCTGTCCTGGTGCCCAGGATCCTCTTCCTCCCTGTGCCCCTTCACCAACCTGGGGCCCTCCCACCCACCTGGCCCAGCTCAAGTCCAGCTTCACTCCCAAGAAAGCCTTCTCCATCCAATGCAAGCAAAGGCTAACACATTTGACTTAAAAGTCTTAGTGCTCTGTGACCCCAGTGGCCCTGGAGCTGTCCCTGAAGGAGAGCAACAGATGGGCCTTCCTTTCTGGGACAGCAGGATGGGAGCTCTATTCCCTGGACCACTATCTTATTGGCTCATGAAGTCATTTGAGAAGGGGTGGCTGATTGGAGACATCCAGTACTAGACGTAACATTCCTCATTTCTCTCCTCCTGCCCTCCTTTATTCTGAATGATGTTGGAAAGAATGAGGTGGGAGGTGGGAGCATAGCTAATTTACTAGTTTCATAGAATGGAACTTTTCTGCATGCAGTTCCATATCTGCCAGCCCAATCACATACCCATCTATCCCCTCATGTCACCCCTGCTTAAACCCTTCTGGGGTCCCCCACACAGGCTCCTTACTGTTACTCACAAGGGCCCTGCCTGCCTTCTCAGTCTTAACCATGATAAGCTCCTTCTACCTCAGGGCCTTTGCACGTTCTGTTCCTTCTGTTAGGAAGGCTCTTCCTCTGGTTCTTTGCATGACTGACTCTTCATCCTTCAGGTTCTGAATAAATGTCACCTGCTAGGAAAAGCCTCCCTCTTTTACTTCGTATAAAGAAGCCCATCTTTCACTAAACACCACCCAGAATATTTACTTTAAAGCAATTTGCTATTATGCTTCGTGTTTGTGTCCTTGTTTGCCACCTCTTTGAGCTCCACAAGGGCAGGACTGTGTCTAGGGCCTCCATGCACGGTTGTATACTGGAGGGGTTGCCTGCTGAGGGGGTGAGTGTGGATGGAAATTTAGCTCCACTTCACTCGCCAACTGTTTGCCCTGGCGCAGACTATGTCTACCCAGGAGGACCCCATTTTCTTATTTGCACAGGGGTGCGTACAGTTTCTGTCTGGACCAGCAGCTGTCCCAGCAGTGTCTGTCTTCTTTCCCCAGGACTTGTCTCAGAGTGGCTCCCTGTAACCTTGGGTCTCTCATAGAAGGAAATACTCCCACAGTGGGAAACCAGTCGGAGTCTGTGGCTTAGAGAAAAATGGGCACCCCTTGAGTCTAGGACGTTTCTGACCTCAGCCCACCCATCTCTGCTTCTGCCCTTCTCTGAGCCCTAGTTCTCCCATCTGCAAAATAGACATTTTCTCCCATTACCCTCCAGGTACCCCCAGAGCCCTCCCAGGGAGAATTCCTTCTGTGCCTATTATTCAGGTGGGACAGCGGGGTGGTCCCAGGGTCAAGGGTTGAGGATCTGGATAAAGCCTGGGCTCCAGTAAGGCTGCCTTACCCGCTCCTGCAGCTCCACGAGGGGTGGGGGTTCCCAGCCTCCTGTCAGCTCCTCCACCCTCTTGGGCCCGGGGGCGGCCCTTATATCCCTACAATGACTCTGGGGACACAAAGGGGGCACAGCCGCCAGAAACCCGTCAAGGTGTCACGTCAGAAACAAATTGCGGTTTTCACCGCGGGCCTAAGCTAAGCCTTCCTTCTTGGGGGAGAGTGAAGGAGGGGCTGGGGTCGGTGCCCAGGGGTAGGAATGGAGGCATGGGGGCTGCAGAGGCAGCCGCCCCCCGCCCCCAGACATGCCCACCTATGGGGTCTCCCTCCGGGATTCCCGAAGGGCCACACCCGAATGGCACAGAATCCACCCTGCCTCCCCTCCTACCCCAACTGAGGCCCAGGGAGAGAAAGAAGGAGCTTAGGGCTGCTGGGTCTCCTGACCCTCTGCCACCGCCACCCCAGGCCTGGCGTCGGGGACAGCCATGGGGACAGACATGAGGCCTGGAGAGAAGAACTCTGGGCTGATGTCGGGGAGGGGCACCAACCCCACCCCCACCTCCAGAGACCCAGCGTCCCCGGGGCTCCAGAGCAGGCTGCCTTTTCTCCCTCCTGAGATGGCAGTGGAGAAAAATTCATTCGTTCACCCATCCATTCATTCATTAGTTCTTCAGCTGGCATTTGGGGAACCCCATACTGTTTGCTGGGTGCTGGGGATACAACTATAAACAAAAGAAACATATCAGCAGCTCTGGGGAGATGACTGGTAGAAATATCATGCAATTAAAGTATTTTCTAGTAGCCACATTAAAAAAAAGATAAAGAAGAAGAAACAAATGAATTAATTTGCATAGTAGAGTTTATTTAACCCAATATATCCAAAATATTATCATATACTATCTAATCAATATAAAATTCTTAATGCCTCACCCTACACTTTTTCTCATACTAAGTCTGCATACCAAATTTGGTCTCACCACATTTCAAGTGTTCAATCTCCTCATATACCATTGACCATCATATGGGCCAGCACAGCTCTGGAGGGAACAGGTAAGCACATGATGCAGTAAGTCAGAGGCTGATGCAAAAATAAAGCAGTAGAAGGGGTGTAATTTTCAGTATGGTGTCAGGGGAGGTCTCCTATTAGAGCCAGTGTGATCTTTGACCTGCAGGAGGAGAGGGAGTGGGCCCCGTGGATGTCTGGAGAACAGCCCACCAGATGAAGGGATGGGCAAGTCCAAAGGCCTTGAGGTGATGTGTTCCAGGAACATCAGGGAAGTATGTGCGTTTAGAGGGATGTAGGACATGGGGCCGAGGAGGGGATGGGGCCCTGCAGGTTACTGTGGGGACTTGGCAGACTTTGGCTTTTGTTGGCACTTCTTCTGCAGGTCCTGGCTCAGGCATCCTCTCCTCCAAGAAGCCTTCCTGACTCCCAAGCTGACTGTGATCCCACAGCCTCCTGGGATCCCCTCTGTCAGAATCGGTGACATTCAGGGCTGTAATCATGTTTCTGGTTCTCATGGTCTCCTGCCCGGGGCCCTGAGGCCCTGCTGATGAGCTGGGGAGGAGGGATGGTATTGGCCTGGTTCACCTCCCAATCTCTGAACCACTAACCATATAGTGTTCATCTTATGACTGAAGACACCAAGCCAGGTTTCTCAACATCACTTTTTAAAAAATAAGCCTTTTATTGAAATATAAAGCTCAGATCCTAAGTGTACAACTTGTTGAATTTTTACAAACAGTACGCCAGAAGCCCCTGGGATCCCCTCCAAGTCCCGACCTTAATGGATGAGCCCAGTATGCTCTTGGGCTCATGTCAACAGAACTGCATGTGTGTACTCTTTCCTGCGTGGCCCCTTCACACCCTGTGTCTATGCAACTTATTCACGTTGCGCAAGGCAAAGATTTGTTCTTGTTCGCTATGTGCTACCCCATTGTGTGAACACCCCCAGTTTGCTATCCATTCTCCTGTCCAAAGGCACCCAGACCTTCCAGTTGTCTCTTAGAATAAAATTGCTCTGAATATCCTTGTTGAGTCTTTTTTGTGAACATGGGTTTGTCTTTTACTTCTCTCAGATGGCCAGCCAGGAGCGGGATTGCTGGACCACGGTGCTGCACACGCATGTGCCTGGCGAATTTTCCGGGGAACCGCCAGGGCTCTCCCCAGTGCCTCTGCACTGGCACTCCCACCAGCAGTCTGGGAGTCGCAGCTGCTCCGCATCCTCGCCAGCACTGGGTGGCGCCAATATTTTTAAGACATTTGTTGGAAGGAGCAGAAGGAAAAGCTAGCACCTAACATTTATGGAGCGCTTATTGTTTGCAAGCACTGATATGTGGGAATCCATACGGTCACCACGAAGACAGGAAGGTTAGCACTGTCAGTATCTCCGCATCTTACCCTCAAGGAGCCAAGGCTATCCAAGGGGAAGCCACTGGCCCAAGGTCACACAAGAGCCCAGCCACCTGTCTGACTGTGACAATCATCATCACAGCCACCGCTTGGGCCAGCCCCCTGGAAGGGAGGAAGATGCTACCCAGTTTCTGGCCTTTTTTTCCCAATTCCTTGCACACCCCACTCCAGAGGAGACCACTTACCCACCTTCATGTGCTGAAGTCGAGTCAGGGATGGGCCGGCCCATGAGAAGGATTAATGAAAATCCATATCTCCAGGCCTCATCTTGCAACCCGGACTCAACAGGCCTGGGGTACGGGGCCTGGGAACTGGTGTGTTTAACCAGTCTCCAGGGGCAATCTGATGTGCAGCCCTTTTGAGAACCCTGGGTGATGTGGAGCCAAGGAAGGGATTAGAGCAGGAAAGGCACTTGAGGAGAAAGACTGCCTAGGCATTAGCTCCCAGAGTGAAGGTCCTGGAACCAGAATTCCTGGGTCCAAATCCCGACTCTGGTCATCACTATCTCAGGGCCTCAGTTTCCCCAGCTGCAAAATGGGCTGATGTTACACATCCTCACCCTCACCTGACTAGTCTGGCTGTGAGAACGGTATCCAGGAGATGAACTGTAGGGCATCAAGGAAGAGGTGCCAGAGAAAGTCAGCGGATGGCAAGATCCCTTGGAGGTACCCCCGAAGGTACTGGAGCTGAGGTGGGCTGGGAGGGAGAATGCAGGCTGGGTGGTGACTGGTGTGGACACAGACGTGGGGAATGGTGTGTAGGCTTCATCCTTCCCACCATTCTGGCAGGCCCTTGTGGGTAAATAGTCGTGGGCCCAGGATCAAAGACCTGGCTCTGCTCCCTTCTTGCTCTGTGACTATGAGCAGATTACACACCCTCTCTGGATCTCACTTTCTTTAAAGGTAGATGCTGCATCTTGCTGCTGAATGTTGTGTGAAAAAGCAAGGAGGAGACATGGACTCAGGCAGAGAGGGTTCAAGTCTAGCACTACATGCAAGTGTGCCCTTCGGCACTGACTGCATCTCTCAGAGCCTCCACTTCCTCAACCAGTGAAGCTTAGAAGGTAGGCAATGCTCATGAGGAGAGACTCTCCACCACTGCCTCCCTAGGAGTTGGGGTCACAGTGCAGGGCTCCCCCTGCCAGCCCAGCCCTCATTTTCTGCCCAGGGTAAAGCAGAGGTAACTGATCACTCAAAGAATGTTGAAATCAGATTAGAGGTTAGAGCATTTAACCCCTCTCCCATTTCCCAGATGGGAAAACTGAGGTCCAGAGAGGAGATATGGTTTGTCCTCGCCCTTCTGGCTCTCAAGCTTTGTGCCTTGGTTTCCCCACCATCTGTGCACCGGGCCTGGGGAGGGCGGTGGTGAAGTTTTAGGTGGCCCTGAATTTACTGTGTGAACATCCACAGACAGGATTAGGGGAGTGGAGGGGGCGTCTCTGGCACGCCTAGGGCCAGGCATCAGCCACCCACAGATTACCCAGGTGTCTGAATCTGCCAGGCAGCTCTCAAAGCCACCATTGTCCCAGAGCTGGGAGGTGGTGGGATTAGGGCCAACAGTGAGGGAAGAGGGGATGGCCCTGGCATCCGGGCCAAGGCCAGGAAGGGGCCCTTCTTCCTCTGCGACATGGGCCTGGGCCAGGCTGGGCCAGGCTAGGCCCGGCTCACTTGCCAGGGCCCCGTAGGCTCTGACCAGGCCTCTGGCCATATTACACCACCCACAGACACTGCATGAGGCCAGACACGGACCCTCTACCCTCACAGACCCACTCTGATGGAAACAGAGACCTTCTGAGAGATGCACACACCAACACAAGGACACATGGACACGTGAGGCCAGCGTCCCCATAATTTTCAGGGCTGGAGCACCAGCCAATCATGGAGGACTCCAATGTATATACATATATATTTTTTCCAAAGCTATGTGTTTTGTTTTTGTTATTGGGTTTTTTTTTAACACTTTAGCAAATGATACTGGTTTTTCAGGGTCCACTTGGAATACATTTATTTTAAATTGTATTTTTAACTTAGTTATTTGTAAACATACATTTACTTTAAAAAGAGTTAATTTGAAGAATAGCATCAGTGTGAATCCCAGGAGAGGTGATGGGGTAGGTAGGACACAAGCAGGAGCCAATCCTCACATGAGTGTCGGCTGTGAGCGTGGAAACACCCCAGTGCAGCTGGCATCCGAGTGACGTGGGAAGACGCAGGCACGGACGGACACCAGAGGTCTCTCCACAACTGGACACTCATGTCTGCACAGACGCCCTGGCCTGCCCTGAGCCAGAGGCCATTTATACACCGACACGTGTTCCAAAATGCACACGCCAGCACGTGGTCACACACAGTGACTCTCCACAGACGCTCCAGCACCGACATGCCTGTTCACATCTTGCTCAGCCTCACAAACTCACCTGTGGCTTACTGAGCACTTACTGTGTGCCAGGCACTGTGCTAAGCATTCTTCATGATTTGATTCATTTCATCTTCATAGCAACCTTGCTGAGCTTGGGACTGTCATCATTCCCATTTTACAGGTGAGGAAACTGAGGCTCGGAGAGATAAGTGACTTGCCCAGGGCACACAGCAGTGAGGAGGCTGGGCCAGGATTTGAACCCAGACAGACTGACTCTAGAGCCTGAATTCCAATCTCAGCTGTATCCCCTGAATTGTTAGATTCCACTTCTCTGAGTCCAGCCTCCTCATCTGTGAAGTGGACACATCTCCCTCAACTGTTGGGAGGATGAGAGGAAGTGACGTGGGGAGAACTCCTGGGAGCACACTGGGCCTTCTACAGGCTCCCTGTGAGTCAGTCGTCCTCATGTTACCAAGATTTGGGGGCAAGCAGCTAAGGTGGAGTGGGAAGAGCTTGTTAAACTGTGTGACCACGGGCAAGGGAGTTGACCTCTCTGGGCCTCAATTCTGTCTCTGCAAAGTGGGGACAGCAGTGGTTGCCCTCCTCTCCTAGGGTTATTGTGTGGATTAAATTTGATGGTACAAGTAACGCCCTGAGCATGGCATTCAGCAGTTACTCAATACATGCTCAAGACTGCCCCTCAGATCCCAAGCTGCTCTTAGTCCCCAGAGCCCACTGTAGGGGAGAAAAAGACACATCAATTGGCTACAAATAAAGAGGTCAAAGCACCACATGTTTGTAAGGACCTTTCTCCTGTTTATTGCCAAGCCCCTGCCCAGACCTGCCCTGCCCACTCATCATCAAGGGAAGCGGCCCCAGTGATGGGGGGCCAGGTGGGCTCCCCCGCAGCGTGTAGCCAGTTGGTGGTGTGCAGGCAGCTGGCAGGCAAATCCTGCCCTGGTCAGTCCAGCTTCAAGTCCAGCACCAGGGCATTCTGGCAGGAAACAAAGGGCCAGGCTAGGGCATGGCAGCTGTGATAGGACCACCCAGGCACAAGATGGGATGGGCCAGAGTGTGGCCAGGAAATGAAATCAGTGTGGTGTTTAAGAGCAAAGGATGAATTAGGCTGGCCTTCTGACCCTTCACCTCTCTAAGCCTTAATTTTCTCAACAGTCAAGTGGGGACAAGCACCCCTACCTCCTGAGTGGAGAGATAAAATGAGAAAAATGCCCACTGAGTGCTCCAAGTACAATGCTTGGCATGCAACACAAAACTAATGTTTATTGAGTACTTACTGTCTGCCTTTGGGCGAATTATCTCAGTGAATCATCACCATAGCTCTTGGAAGTGGACACCCTATTATCACCCCCACTTTAGGCACAGAAAATAGAAGCATTGAGAAAGATGAAATGACTTTCCCAAAGTGGCGGCGAAGGAGAGTAGCAGAATTCAAGTTTCCTCTTGGGGACCCCTGGCCCAGCGGACCCCCAGTTCTGAGGGGCAAGGTCTGGCTCAAGGGATTGGCAGGACTGTACTGATGGCCCCTGCCCCCTTCAGCGCTCCTCCCTTCAGGTGGAGAGACGCCAACTTTCGTTCATCGTTCATTGGCCGAAAATACTGGCTGACATGGCCTTCCCCCACTCCTTTCCTCACCTCTACTATGTTCAGCTCTGCCAGGTTGTAATTCATGTCCAGGAAGTCTGGAAGTGGGAGTCCGACTTGGAGCACATCTGAGGAATACAGGAAGAGTCCTTTCAGCCAGCCTGCTCTGCAACTGAGGAGCGGCTGCCTGGAGCAGTGTAGTGGGAAATAGTGCACTGACTGATTCACGATGTCTGCCAGCTGCTTGAGCCTAGACTGAATGTTAGATTTATATATTTATATACATGGTCTAGGTCAAGATCTGACTCACCGTGTGGAGTCAAGGGTCAGAGTCCAAGTTGTAGGAGGGGGTCTTTGTCCCCAGGTAAGTGACATTCAGCTGACATTAGCCTCAAAGATTCAGCAATGACCATCCCCTCCCTTCTAGTCTCCCCCATCTGGGGCTACTGGAGAGGCTTGGAGACCACTCAGGTGGCATCTCTTCCTGCTCAGAATGCTCCCGGGCACCAGCAAAATCAAAGCCTGTTGGAGCCCTCACCATTGATGGCTGGGATGTAGGCTTCTTGCAGAAAATCAGTGATGAAGCCTGTCAATTCCTTCTCCTGGGGGAGAGAGAGGGAAAGAGAAAATACCCTCATCCATCGTTCAATTAAATTCTACAGATTTTTTCAGCGCTGTGGATCGGGGGACCACAGGAATGAATATTAGAGACATCAAATCAAATCACAACTGTGTCTGAATGTTAGACTGTAGACCGATGCCCTTCACCTCTGCTTAGTCCTTGTGAAGGAGTATAAAGCAAACTAACAAACTGGCTTCCCTGATGTGAACCAGTTTGCTGATTCGTTCTTTACTGAGAATAACTTTAACCCAGAGGCTACGCTCCAGGAAGGAGAAAACAGGCTGATAATCTTGGAAGAATGGACAGACCCTCCGGAGTTCCTCTTGAAGATTCGTTGACTTGAAGAGGGTTGGAGCACCCAGTAAAACACCCTGATTATTATCACCTTCTCTGCTCCATCCAGTTTTTCTATAAAACCTCAAGACCCCAACCCCAAGATGGGCTCACAGTCTTTAAGTCACTAGCCTGCTGTGACTCCCTTTGCCGGACAAAGTAATAAAGCTGCTCTTTTCTGTGATCCCAAAACTCTGCCTCTGATTTTGAATTTGCTTTTTGGGGTACAGAGGCTGATTTTTCTATAACACCTCTTCCGGTCACATGTGGACCTTGGGTCATGTTGAAGGTAGGCAGAATTCAGGAGACACAGAGTGGCCTGTGGACCCTACCCTTACTCCTACAGAAAACTCAGTAGCTTTGATGAGTCATTCATTCCCCGCCTTTCTGCACCTCAGTTACCCTATCTGTGAAAGAAGAATACAATAGCAGCTGCTCATAGGGTTTCCATGAGGATTCTGTGAGTTTGGGTAAAGCACACAGCACAGAGTAAGTGGTCAGTAAGTAGAGTCGCTGGTGTTGTTTTAATGATGATGATAGTGATTATTAGCGAATGCTGGGTCAGGTTCTGTTTTGGGGCCCGAGGCTACAGAGACTAATAAAAATAACAGCTGGGCCAACCAAGCCAGTTCAGGCTACTGCTATGTGTGACAATGCTTTTCAGATCAATCTAAGGAGATGTCCAGATTCTATCCAGAAAAGAAAACAGAGATTCAGAGAGGCTAAGCAATTTTTCCAAGGTCACACAGCCAGTCAGGGGCCCCAAGTCCCACAGTGATCTAGTCTGTTCACTCTGCCTCCACTTCAGAGCCTTTCCCTGCAGCCGCAAGGGAGAATAGGTCTAGTCTTGCCTTTTAAGCCAGACCCGGCAGAAGTATTTGAGACACTTACATTGTAGGCACCAATCGATGAAGACCCCCGGGACAGGCTCAGTAATCTGCAGAAGAGAGGGGAATAAGGAGGAGGAAGGGCAGTCAGAGCACTTCCCTGCCCCGGAGAAAAGGGATCTCAACCCCCCAGCCCCTCCCTGATGAAGAAGTCCTCTACAGCTTCTCACCAGGTGCTTGGAAGCCTGCTTACATGCTCCCTATAATGGAGCACTCACCACCTTTCATCACAGACATTTTGTTTCCCATAGCACAAACCACTGCCTCCTCTCATTGTTCCTGACTCCTTCCTCTGGGACCCCAGTCATGTCCACTGCTCCCACCCAAGGCCAGGTAGGCAGAGGGTTTGCAGCTCAACTAGTCAGTCCCAGATTTTTGCAGGACGTAGGATTGAGGCCCTCTCCATGGCCCCCTCCCTGGCACAGCCTCCAGTGGGCCCTAATACATCTTGGCACCAGAACAGGCCACCTGATGGTCATCTGGTGGCACTATCTTCCCAATATCTGTTCTCTATTCCAGTAACACACCCTCCATTTTCCACCCTCATTCCAAGGCACTTAGGAGGGCCTGAACCCAGAGACCTCAGGCTGAGCACATGACCCCAGCCTGGCCAATCAGAGCATTATATCTCTTGAGTCACTGTGATTAGCTTAGGGTTGGTCATGCGATTCATGCTAGGCCAATGAGAAGCAGCCTTGGGAATCCTGTCAGAACTATCAAACAAGAGGCCTCTCTCCTTGTTGGGGTCACTTTGCCACCACTTGAGGGGAGGCTGCCTGAGAATGGCCAACAGAGTGGACAGCAAAGGCCAAGGGATGAGGAGACAGACTGTGAGAATTCCATGCAGCTAGATCCAGCCATGCCTGAAAGGGATATCTATCTCTAGAGATTTTAGTTGAGTCTAAATATTCCCTTTGGGGTTTAAGACAGTTAAAATTGGAATTGTCTCTACAATTGAAAGAATCCTGGCCTAATGCAAGTCAGATAAAAAATTAGGACAAATACAAAAATTCATGAACAACTGAATGGAAAACTGGCCTCACACATAGAACTCTATAAATGTTAGTTGTTATTATTATAAAGAAAGGAATCATGGAGGAGGTGGCATTTGAGGTGGGTGTTGAGTGGCAGGAGGCATTTGGATGGCATGGGTAAAAGCCTGTTAATGGCAAAGGGGACATGGGCCCACGATCAGACTCACTGTGCAAGAGCCTAGAGGAACCGCGGGAGCAGTGGCAGAAGAATTTGAGAAGGACTTTGTGTGCCAGGCTAAGATTTGAGAAAAAAATCATACAAACAATGGGGAGCCATTGAGGGTTCTAGAACAGGGATAGTGACCAGAGTAGCCTTGCAGTGTGGGCCATGCTGGATGGATCAGAGGGAGACCCTGAAGCAGGAAAACAAGTGGTGTTGGAAGTGCCCATGCAAGGATACAGGGATGCCAGCGTGGGCAGCAGACTCCTACCTGTCCAGAGAGGTGGCCATCTGCAGTCGGTTCTCACGAACTGAGTACTGGATTTTCAGGTTGAAGTGCTGACATGGGGGGAAGCGGGGAGAAGGCAGTGGGTTCCCCATCAGGTTTGGTAAAACCAGAGGCTTTACCACCTCCCCAGCATCCCCACCACTGCCAAGACAAAGCAGGGGTCTTCCTCTCTGCCCATCCCTCCTTCAGGAACTGAACGCAGCAGTCTCCCCATGCCCCCAGCCCAGGGTCTTCATCTTCCCTGTACCTAGCCCAGGAGAGCACAATCAAAAGTCCTGGCCTATTTGTAGGTCCCTACAAACACCATGTTACTGCTCCAGGTCTTTGCGCATCCTGTGACTCTATCTGGAGTGCCCTCCATCACCAGCCTCTCCAACAGCAACCCTTTTCCTGGCCAGCACTTGCCCAACCTTCAAAACATAGCTCAGGCATCACCTCCTCTAGGAAGTCTTCTGTGATTTCCTCAAACTAGATTCAGGATCTCTTGAGGCTCCTATAGTTCCCTGGGTGAGCCCTTCACTACCCTTATAGATGCTATTGAATGTTGGAGGAAGGAAGGAAAGAAAAAAGGGCAGGAAGGGGCCAGGAAGGGGGCAGGAAGGAGGGAGGAGAAAGAAAGGAAGGACTAAATTTTTGACCCTCATTTTGTTGATTTCTCTAGACATTCAGAGTTTCAACAGCAGAGCCAAAAATCAGACATTCGGTGACGGTGCCCAGCAGGTTAGACTCATATCTCTGGGGTTAACTAAGATCCCTTTAATCCAAAACCTGGCTATCAGCTAAAATCCTACCCTCCAGCCTCGAATATCCATGAGACTGGACCTAAATGGGAAACAGATTCCACTCACAGTTTCCAGGAGAAAGAGGGGTGCAAGGGCCTTTCCCGGCTGCTGAGCAGCAAACATCTCCATGGTGCCATGGAGGTGCAGCAGGCTTTTGCCGGTCTTCATGGTGACCTCGAGGGGCTTGTTTATCCTGATCTGGGTCACCAGGGGTTTCCGTTTGGGATAGGCCTCAGCCACCTACAGAAACCAGGAGACTTCCCTCAAGGCCAAATCTCAGACTGGTGGCTTCAGTTGAAACCAGGAGTCCGTCACAAAATGCGTGATTTCTACCTTGGATGCAGGAAGCACAATATGCAAAGGCTGGGATGCATCAATCAGGAAATAAAAGAAACAAAACAATCTGGCTATTTCTACATTGGACATAAAAAGTACAATGCAAAAAGCCGGGCTCTTTCTGTGCTGGGTCCAAAGGGTAATTTATGGAGAAGTTGGGATGATTCCACACTAGCCAAGGGAGATGTGGCATTGAAAATCCCTGTCCCTTTGCCTGGAGAACAGGGCAGGGTGTGGTGATCACAGGTAGCTGGGGCACTCACTTCAGGGATGAAGCGAGCCAGTGTCTCAGTGGTTTGTGGGGGCAGTTCGCCAATCTACAAAATAAAAGTCAAAGTTAGGAATACTGAAGAGTTCCCTGAGCCTTCCTAACAGACATCTCCTCTGACTCAATAAGGTATGTCTTCTGAGATTCCTTCACCAAAACCTTGCTCTTTGATTAAGTAGATAATGAGCTCCTGGGTAGCCCAGATTGTGGCTCATACCTTTCAATGCTCATAGCTCTGAGTACAAGATCACATGCTGAGAAAGTTTTGTTGGATGAAAAAGCAGGAAGATAGATGGGAGAATGGGTGGATGTGATGGAGGAGAGGGGGTAGGTGAATGGATTTGTGGATGGAGAAATGGATGGGGAAAATGGATAAACAGATAAGTAGGTGAATGGTTGGGTGGATGGATAGATGAGTATTTGCACAGGGAAATGAATAATAGATGGGCAGGTGGATAGGTGGATTGAAGGATGATAGGAATAATAGATGGGAGGATGAGTGGATGGGAAGATGGTGAAATGGTCTGAAAAATGGATGGGAGAGTAGATGATGGATGGCAAAGTATACGGATGGATGATGGGTGCATGGATGGGAGGATGAATAAAGGGATCAACAGAGATGAATAAATGAGTGGATGATTGGACTGAGGGTTGGATGGATGCATGAGTAGGTGGTGGTTACATGGGCAGAGATGGTGGATGGTGGGGTGAACTGATGATAGAAACCCAAATAAGTCCTGGCATCTCTCAGTCCTAGCATTGCCAACAACCCCAAGATAATCCTCAGAAGGCCGGCTCTGGCAGGTACTGTCATTACAGGGGGACAGATGTGGGGCGTGGCCACTGGCAGCTCACCGTCGTGTCCTGGACATTCACATCAAAGGACTTCTGCAGGAGAGCAAGCTCTGCCGTGAGGAAGGCGGCCGAGAGCAGCAGCTGCGAGGAGCCTTCAGCATAGTCCTCGGGGAACTCGAGGGCCTCCCCGGCATCAGCAAGCTGGATGATGCTGCCCTCATGCTGCTGCACCACGGGCTGTGGGACAGCCAGCGGGGAGACACTCGGCTTTGGCCAGGAAGGACTGTGGCTGGGGCTGAGTCTGTAGTACTAATGGCGCTCAAACTGGCCCCACGTCAGCAAGTCACAAGACGGTAGAGCCAGAGCAGGCTACGGGGGTCAATGCTCCCAGTGTGCAGACGGGCAGACTGAGGCCCAAAAGGATAAGGGAGTCAGTTACTAAACCACTAGCAGTCCCTCCTAGGATTGCTTAAGTAACCTCAGTTAATCGGACTGTGGTAGGAGCCCTCATTTACACAGAATGTGTTTCTAGTCTCAGGAGAAGGAGGTAAACGGAAAACAAGGTGGGCCCTGTAAGAACCTCGCTAGAGGAAGAATTCACAGAGGGGTGAGCGCTTGAGGTTTTTCTTCCCATTCCTGGAAGATGCATTCACCTAGGTACCTAGGGCTCTGGAGACCTGGGTGAGAACCCAACCCTGCCACCAACTCACGCTGGAATTCTAGTCAAGTCCTGCCTCCCTCCTGGGCCTGGTGCTTCCCCCCGTACAATGACAGGGTACGGCACTGGGAGTAGCAGGCAGCCTGGGGAGAAGGTGTGAGTGTGGAGTCAGCATCCTGGAAATCAGCTCAGGACTCAGGGTTCACGTTAGGAGCAGAAAGAGGCAGGGACCCTCCCACCCTCCGCGGCCTCAGTCCAGCTGCCTGCCCTCACGGAAGCAGCCCCCACCGCTCAGGCTTGTGAGACCCCAGCCTGCTGCTTACACTAAAGTCCACTTGAATGTAGCTGGCTGTGGTGGTTGGTATGGACGTCAGGACATATTTGACGGTGCCCATCTGGCCCACGGGCATGGGGGCTGTGTAAAGAGGAAGTTTCACTCAGAGAGGCACCAATCTGGGGCCAACCCAGAGAAGCCGGCACCAGCCAGCTGCCCCCTGAGCTTGGCCTGGGCACCAGGAACCCAGGCCCTCTGTGTGACACCAGGCAGATTGCATCACTGGGCCTCAGTAGTTTCACCTGCAGAATGGAGGCAATGATGCCTGGCCTAGAAAATCACATCCCTCAGCAGGCACAGAGCTGTTCCCCAGGGGCTGTCATAGCTCAGTTCTCACAACAGACTGGCAGGGCCAGGATTATTGGCTCTATTTTACACATGCACAAACAGGCTTGGAGGAGTGAAGTGACTTGTCCCAGGCCACACTGCTGGGCACATGAGCCAGTTTTCTTCAGTCCCAGCCATTGAGCTTTCCTCTCCCCCACCCTGAGGAGCCCTGGAGACCCCAAGATGATGAAGGCAGAAGATCCCCTTGGCAAAGGAAAGAGTGGAGATTACCATTGGGGTTACTATTCACGGTGCAAGGTTTGTGGAAGAGCCCGCAAAGGCTGCTGCCCTTAGAGTCTGGGGGTGATGGATAGAACACTAGATGGAGGGCTGAGAGGAAAGGACCCCAGAGTCCCTCAGGGCCTTAGGCTCCCCATCTGAACAATGGGTGGATGGCTGGACTCCATGACCTGAGACCACCTCTAGTCCCAAGGCTGGGCTGGGAGCAGACACTTGAATGGGGAGTCAGGCATCAAAGTCCAGCCGTCCTGCCATCCCCATGTGGGAGCAAGGCATGGCTAGGGCTGCTCACCATTCGCATTGGCCCACTTCTTGTTCACATATCCCAGGACCGCATCGATGGCTGGACACATCTGGAAGAAGAGACGGCGCTGGGCAGAGGGGGCCCTGTGTGGAGGGCCTCACTCCTTACAGCTGAATGTTACTCCACAGGGATACTCAAGAGCCCTAGTGGGGCAGGGACTCGAGGAGGAAACCAAAGCCACAAGCCACACAGGAAGTCAACAGCAGAGCCTGGACCAGGAGCCAGATCTCCTGACGACAGCCTGCAGTCAGTGAGGGCACGTTCCCCCAGGGACTGGTACTCTAAGCAGGGATGGCAGTGGTGCTGTGCAGGCTGCCATTTCCTCTTCCCACGCTCACAGCAGACATCACTAGCTGATCACTTTCTCCCACTGAGCCAGCCACAGCCTCAGGATCCTCCTCAGCCTCCTTTGATCAGGATCAGACCCAAGATGAAATGCACTTGCCCTGGTCGAAGCACTCCCGTGGATGAAGGGCGGAGGTTTGCTCTGGGCACTCACCAGGCCAGGAAGAACTTTGTGTAGGGTGCTGTCCAGGAACTTGTTGATCACCTTAGGCAGCATGCTAGACACAGAGGATGGGGACAGGGGAATAGATGGCAGGAAGTTAGGCATGGGACATGCAGGGACATGGCTAAGGAAGTGTAGTGGCTCAGGAAGTGGGATGCTGAGCCCAGATGGCAAGGTGGACCCAGCCTTCCTCCCCAGCCACGGAGCCCCTCACTTGCTGGGCAGGTTTGTCTTCACGCTGACCAGGATGACCTCACAGCCCTCGCTCTTGAACATGGGGAGGCCCATCTCCTCATCCTGCAGAAGCCGGTTGGTGGCTGTGATGTTCAGGACCACGATGATCTCCATGTTCCCACCCATGAAGCTGGAGGAGGGGGCAGGCAGGCATCATGGGCACCTCTGCCATTGTGGCCACTAGCCCTGTCTCCTCTTTGCCCACAGTCTCAGCAGCTCTGAGAGAGGAGAAAGGGTGGAAGACCATCCCACAGGACAGAAAGCATGATGGGACCTGCCCAAGGTCGCACAACCAGCCTTTCCACTCCCCTCTTACTTTGGTGAACTCCTGCACGTATTTCAAAACCCTGTTCTGCTCAGCTGTCATCATCTCGCAAAAGCCTTTTCTAATCCCTGACCCCTGCACTCTGCCAATGCTTCTTCTGTTCCAGGCCAGTCCCTCAGTCTGTGATCATCTGTGTTCAGGTCTGGTTCCCATCAAAGGTAGGAACCAGTTTTGCATCATCTCAGACCATAGCCCCCAGATGGTACACAGTAAGTACTCAGTAAGTGTGCATATCAGAGTGAGACAAAGAGATCATTATCCTTTCCTTCTCATCTCCCCACCATACTCACCTCTTGCCAGTGATGGTCATGCCCGTGGACACACACTGGAAGATGCCCACCTCAGGTACGAAGTTCAGTGTGATGACAGGCAGCTGCACATCCTTCACCTTCAGACTGGGAGAGGCAGACAACCAAGCAATGAGAACTGGAAAGATGAGACCCAGGCCCTTAACCCACTCCTCTACTCCTTTTAAGGGAGGCCTTGGATAAATCCCCCATCCCATGTCATGGGGATAAAGCCACATTTGGGACCATCGTGAAACGCAGACAAAAGGCTGGACCAATTTGTACACTAAAGCACTCGTCATGTGTAAGCTGGGACACCTGGCCTTGTGATGTTGGGCTGCTCCCTTCCCTGCTGTGGGCCTCAGTTTTCCCATTGGCAAAAATGGGGATGTTTGCTCAGATCAGGGTTTCTCAACAGTAACACTATTGACATTTGGGGCAGAATCATTCTTTGCTGTGTGCTGTCCTGTGCACTGTAGGGTGTTTAGTAGCATCCCTGGCTTCTGCCCACTAGAGGCATAGATGCACTCCCCTTCCCCGACCCCATGAGTTGTGGCAATCAAAAATGTCTCCAGACACTGCCAAATGCCCCTTGGAGGCAAAATTACCCCTGCTTGAGAACTACCAGTCAAGATCCAGGGTAGCAAATTTGTGGCACGTCTCCACCTGCCTGTCCTGAGCTCTTGGCAGACATTGCTAACTGATCACAGTCCTATTTCCTGCTAAGCCCAGAAAGTGCCTCAAAACCCTCCCCAGCACATCATTCCAGGCAGGCCCACCAATCAATCCCATATGACACTTGCGCTGAAACCATTTTGCCCCTGTCATTAGATGATTGTTTCCAGAGGATTTTGCATTCAGTTTCATGTACATTCAGTGAGTTCCTGCTGCATGTAGGGAGTTGGAGTTTGACTTTCCAACCTCACTGCCCCCTCTCAATGGCCCTGTTCGCAACAGGCCTGAAATTGTCCCCAGTGGATGACTGAGGCCCAGGTGGGAGCAGTGACCTGCCCAGGGTCACACAGCAAGCCAGCGGCAAGGCCGGGAAGAGGCCCCATGCCCTGCACCAGCTGTCCCACCAGCTCTTTCAGGCATCCCCTGCCACCCTCTCTCCTAACTGCCACCCCGACTCTGAAGCCCCTCCCCTGCTCACTTAGTGATGCCCTTAATGGGTTTCATCCCCGGCCGTTTTTTGCCCGCCTCAGCTGCCATCTTCTCCAGGATGTGACTCTCATCCATAGCGTTCTGGACCTCTGGAAAGGGGGAGGGTCAGAGAGACACTCAGCTGGGCTCCTCACTGCTTCCCTGCCCTGGGGCCAGTCTCTCAGGCATCCCAGAGATGAGTCATGCCTGCCTCTGCCCTCTTCCAGCCTGGAGGAGAAGACAGAGTCACTAGAGTGATGAGGGCCATGAAAAGCCCAGGCAGCTGGAGGAACCACAGGAGGGGTTTGGGCCAGAAAAGGAAGAGCCAGGTAAGGCTTCCAGGAGGAGGTGATGTGCCAATTGGTCCTTGAGGGAGGAGTAAGATAATAAAAGAGGCAGCTCCCAGCAGAGGGCCCAGCAAGTGCAAAGGTGGGGAAGAGGGGAAGGAGGTGGCACAGAGGAGGAGGAGTGAGAAATACAGTGTAGCTGGAGTGGGTAGGGACAGGACAGGGAAACTGGAGCAGTTTCAGGAGGCACATCATGGAGGCCTGGAACCCCAAGCTGCAGTGTCAACTTTATCATGTGGCCCAGCCGCTCTCAAACTCGGCTGATTAGGGAATTCAACTGGGAGCTTATTTAAGTGAAGATTCTGTGCTTGAAGCCAAGACATTCTGATTCCCCAGGACTGGAGACCCCCAGTCCCAAATGACACTGACACATGCCTGAAACACTCCAGAATGGTCTCAGGCTAGTTCCCAGAGGAGACAAATACTGAGCTGATGAAAATCATTAGCCCTTTGCACCTGGGTGTGACTCCATTTTCTTTAGGGTCACAGAGCTGGAGATGGATGATACATTTTACTAAAGGGTTCCCAGGGCATTTTTATCTCACACATCATCTGATCCAACCCAAAAAAGGACTGTTCAGCCTATTTTACATTTCTTTACACTTTACATTTGCAGATGAGCAAACAGCAACACAGAGAGGGTAAGTGACTTGCCTGAGGTCACACAGTAAATTGTTGGCAGAGCTGGAATTTGGCTCATTGTCTGTCACCCCTACAGCCCACTTGTGGATGCCAACCCCTGCCCTCAGGGCCAAGGAGAGGTTCCAAAGAGAAAGGATTTCCAGCTCTGCCTCCAACTTGCAGGGGATCCTTGGGCAAATCAGCCCATTTTCTCTGGGACTCAGTTTCCCTCCTCTGTAAAATGGAAGAATAATAACATATTGCTTATAAGTTGATTTTGAGGATCATAGGATACTCAAGTCTATGCAAACACAAGCAGGCACTACCTACCACCTACTCCCTTTCCCACACTTCCCCCGCCCCCCAAGCCCCCGGCCCAGCCTGCCAGCTCACCCCGATTCATGATGTCCATGCCCAGTCGCAGCAGTGCCCCAGGGTCCGCTCGTGCGGTGGTCAGCAGGCCGCAGAGCACCAGACACAGGATTCGCAGCATGGTTCACCTGTGTCACAGGGCCTGAATTGGGTGCAGCCCACCCTTGGTTCCCTTGGGGACCTCCCCTGCTCCAGATCAGACAGGGCCCCTGGATGATCTCAGGAGTCCAGGAGTTTTGGACCGTGTCCCCCAGAAGGACCAAAGAGTGTCCAGATTAAATACAGGGCCTCTGGGGTCACCCCAGGCAAGTCACTTCCCTCTCTGAGCTTTGATTTCTGCGTCTCTGGGTGTGATGCGTTCTGAACAGCTTGCTTTATGGGGTTGGTGGGAGGTTTAGCTGCAGTTTTTCCTGAGTCCAAGTGTGGCTCATGGTGCAATGCTGGGGCTATGGAGGAGATTCCAACTTGGTCCAGACTTCAGGGACTCCCATGGCAGTGTGGGAATGGGGGAACTCCCTGCTTCCCTAACACTGGCACGACAGCCAGTGGCATCTGCCTCCTCCTCCAACTCAGAACCATTTCTAGAAATCTCAGCTTACAGCCCCTTAAGCCACCTTGAGACCTCGCCTCACCAACAAGGAAACGGAGGCACAGTCTGAACCCGACCCAAGGTCTCACAGCTGGTGAGTAGGGACTTGAATAAAAACCCCAGACCCTTCAAAATTCCAGGAAAGCCCCCTCCCACCTCTGGATCCCCAGACACCCCTTCTTAATTACTACTTACCAAGACCTGAAATTCTCTCAACCAGAGGCCAAGTGTTTATTTCCAATTTGAGCTGTGGCTGAAAAGAATGGTGGAGGGTGGGGATGGCGTGGCCACTGGGCCTGGCCTTGTCACTGGAGAGGGAAGATTCCAGATGGACTCCTACTGACAGTGGGCTCGGCCACCGAGGGCTCCACTTATCCGCAGAGGCAGGTGCCTACTGAGCCCGTGCCTGCCTGCGTTCATTCACTCAACTCACATTTCCTGAATACCTACTACGTGCCAGGCAGACCAGCCTACAAAGTACACACGGCAGAGATAGTCCTGCTCCTCCTGAATCTTGAAGCGAGGCAATTAAATGGGATACAGTGTGTTTGGGGGTGGGGAGGGGTGGCCAGGGAAGGACTCTCTAAAGAGGAGATATTTAGGCTGAGACTTAAAGGATAAGAAGCAATCAGCACAGAAAAAGCCAGGGAGACCTTCACGCCTACAGTCAATATTTGCTAAATGAAAGCATGATTGATTTGTCTCTGGTCCTATCCAATTTTTAAATATCTACCTTGGCTTGAAAATAATCAATTTTGATGTTTCCTCAGCCCCCATGAACACATACACGTGCGCCATGGAAATGCTGGGCACAGGCACACCCAGGGCCAAATCTCTGAAGGTCATCCTGTGGTGGGTGGTGGAGTTCAGGGCCAGGGCGGCAGGGCTGGAGGGGGCTGGGTAAAGGTCTCCTCCGGCCCCGCCCCATCTCCCAGCTGGGGAGACCGAGCCCCAAGACTGGTTCCCCCTTTCCCAGGCCAGAACAGATGCCAGGTGTTAAGGCCACTTGGAGAAGGTTTTTTTGCCCTCTTACGGTTAATGAGCGGCTCGGGGTATACAGCTGTGCAGGTATTTCCGGGCAAGTGGTTAATGCCGGGGTTTTGTTTCTGACTGTGTTTGTGCTTTTGCCTAAGCTTCCCCTCCTTCTTACAGTGCCCTTCCTCCACCCATCTACTACCTGCTTGTCCCTCAAGTCCTAATTTCAGTCCTTGCCTCCTCCTCCAGGAAGCCTCCCCTCAACCCCCAACCACCCCTAGCTTCAAAGATCAGTTAGAATCTGACTGTATACCTAATCCATCCCACCCCAAAATGAGTGTTTCCTGCTTCTCCACCCCCATCGTCAGCTCACACATTTTCCTCCACCTGGAGTGCCCCTCCCCCGCCCTCAGCTTGAGAAATGCTCCTAGATGCCCCCTACCCCCCCACCACCATCCCCTCATTGCCTCATCTCAGCTCTGAGCTCCTGCAAAGCAGAGCCTCCCTTGTCTCCCGTTGGCCTCAGTTGGAGCCCAAAGAGACACCTCAGATCTGCTGTCTCCATGACCTTGCCCAAGTCCTGCAGCATCTGAGGACTGCGATGTCCGGTGGCTTCCTGTCAGGTGAGGAACACTGTGTGAAGGACATAGATCCAAGCCCTGGTTCTGCCACCCAGTTGCTGTGTGACCTCAGGCAAGTTCCTTGCCCTCTCTGAGCCTCAGTGTTTTCATCTGTAAAATGACAAGGCTGAATAAGACACTCTCTGGGGAGCGTTCCACAGGTAGAGCCTCTCCTTACCTTGCCGAGCTTGGGGTTGTCTTGCCGGTGACTGGCCCCTGCCTCCCCACCCTGGGACGAGGAAGCCCTTATATTTGGGAGCCTGATTAGTTGCTGGGATAATTAAGGGTTTAATAAGGCCCAGATAATTATCTAGAGGCCCAAAGAACAGGAGCCCTGGTGCTCACGTGATGTTTCAGTCTGTTCCAAGGTAAATAGCACAGAGGACGAGGGTGGCTGGGGTGGCTGGAGAGCCCGGGAGCTGCATGAGGGCAGACACTGGGGAGGGGGCGCGGTCGCTGGTGCAGGGCAGAGGGCATTGGGCTCACATTTCCTCCTCCTCTAGACTCAGTGCCTCCCACAGGGCTGGACACGCAGTTGGCACCCATTCATTCCTTTCACAAACATTTATTGAGGGCCTACTGTGTGCCAGGCCTGTGCAGGTGTTAGGGATGCCTCAGTGAACAAGGCAGCTGGGGTTCCTGTCCTGAGAGGGTGCCTGGAGACTACGAGGGGGACAGGCACTCCGCGAGTCAACAACACAGAGCCAGGTCAGTCCTGCAGAGATAAGAGTGCTGGAAACCACTGACCCAGGGGTGGGACGAGGAGAGGAGAACCAGGTTATCACGGGTAACGTCAGAGCCCAAGACCCCTGGAGTGGGGGATGTTGCAGCTGATGCCTGAGGGGTGAGCAGAGCCAGCTCTGCAAGGCAGGAGAAAGGTGTTTCAGGTGGGGAGTAGGCAAGTGCAAAGGCCCAGGGGCATGGGCTGGACCATCAGCACTGGATCCCTCTGAGACTCACAGTGGGCATGAGGAGTTAATGGCCCAATGCAGTATCTTCAGGGGAGACCCTCCTGGAGGAGATGCCAAGAGGTGATAAATGCTGGGGCAGGGGCTTTC